CAAATTGTGCTATATCCATATAATGAAACACTGCTCAGAAATTAAAAATAGTCAATCATACAGCAATTTGGATAAATCTAAAATTAATAGGTTGAATGTAAGAAGCCAGAAAAAGGAATACATATTATATGTATCTGTTTCCATAAAATTACAAGAAATGCAAAACAATCTACAGTGAGAGAATAGTGGTTGCTTGAAAATGGGGAGGGTAGAACAGGCAGAGATACTGAAGGGAGATATGTGGGTGTGAGAATGGCAAAGGGGCTAAAAACACCTTTTTGGCTGGTGGATATATATTGGTTGGTTTCATTGGTGTATACAGATGTCAAAACTAGTGAAGTTTGTAAATATGCACAGTGAATTACACATGAATCACCTCAATAAAGCATTGGAAATATACTTGTATTCTTCAGGGAGTTGATGAAATTCAGTTAATCAGAACAATTTCCACTAAGATGATCCTGTTATATTAACAGACTATCCCTATGTCTTATGTAGTTGTTCACAGAACATATGACCAATATAGAAAAATTCACTTGCAATGAGGTCTATCTAAATGTGTAGGGAAATTTGATACACATTTCTTTCTTCAGTACAAAACCAAAATGTTATGACCTGGTAAAATAATCATACTGATATTTCAGTAAATCTGGTTATTTTAAAGAACATGTCTCTGAATCACAATAGGATAAATTCTAATACAATCAATATTTTTGAAAATAATAATTAATGACAAATTAAACTAATTTTTGGATAATTGTTGGTTTCTACAAAACAAATAAAAGTTTGCTACCAAGGAAAATTCCATAATACAATTTCATAATGCCTTCTAAACAACTGCATATTTCAACACTCATCTAAAAATTTTGATAGGAATCACTGTTTTCCATTCACACTGAAGCAGCAACTCCTTCCTAAGATGTTTCTTTTTCCTTTTCATCTCTGTTAATAATTGCAACCTGCTAGTTTCTTCTGGTGTAATCATGCTTGCTTAACAGCTGTGGCAGCAACAAGACCTGGCTGATAAGAGAGAAAAGAGAACAAAGCTACTTACATGAGAAAGTCTTAAAATCCGGAAGTCTGTCCTGTATAAAAGATACCAAGAACAAAGGGCTGTGCTCAGCTTTTGGAGAAGATTCTGCTTAGCCCACACTGGTGCTGTACACACCTTGCTCTCCTGCATCACCAAGGGCTGCTTGTCTCTTTCCACTGTCATAATTTTCTATATTTTTATCACGTATTTTGGTGCATTGGCTGGGAAACGGACAACAGAGCTGGCACTTTGTGCCAGCATTGTTGGAGAACTGAAAAAAAGCCATGGCCACCATCCTGGAGACAGCCAGATAGGTTCCACCTGGATGATTGCTGGATCCTGACTCTGACTCAAGGTGTTCTGGCCCTGGCTCTCACTTCCTCCCCAGCAGACTCAGAAGGAGAACCAAAGCAGATTTCAGAACAGGACATCAGACTGGTGAGTCCCCTTGGGGCATCTGCCTGAGTCAGATCCTGCCCTATGGTGGAAGGGGAAACTGATCACTTCCCAGAGACCAGTGACTGTAGTGTCACCCAGTAAAGGGTCTGCACACATGATTGGAATGAATGAGAGTCTGTGCTCCACTGTCTTAGGACTACAGAGCCTAAATGAGTCCTAACCTGTGATTCTGTGGTGACCTCATGAGGCTTAAAGCAGAGTCAATCCCTTGGGGATCAAAATTCCCTCCTATAGTTGGGTGTGGTGGTGCACATCTGTAATCTCAGAGGCTAGGGAAGTTGAGGCAGGCGGATCACAAATTCAATGCTAGCCTCAGCAAAAAGCGACATACTAAGCAAATTAGTGAGACCCTGTCTCTAAATAAAATATAAAAGAGGACTGGGGATGTGGCTCACTGGTCTAGTGCCCCTGAGTTCAATCTCCAGTACCCCTCCCCAAAATGTCCCTCCCTGTGGTGTTGATCTGGATCAGAGGATTATACTAACCTGCCATTGATGCTATGAGACCCTAAATCTCTGTGAAGAGAATGGCCAGGCAGATGAAGGTGTCTTTTCTCATCTACTTGCAAAACACTGTCTCACGGTAGGAACTTTCACACTATGGGAAGCTCCGCCTCATAACCAAAACCCACTGTCTTAAAATGTATGCTTAAGAACTTTAAGAAAGGTTTCTCTGGAGATTATGGTGTAAAATTGAGCCTTGAAAATGGTATTCTTGGCTTTCTACAGTGGCCCTCTTTTGGGGTTGGGTGGCCTTCAGATGGGATATTAGATGTGGTCACTGTTCAAGCAGTACATGAAGTAGAAACAGGAGACCCTAGCCATCAGGGTCAGTTCCTGTATATAGATCAGTGGTTGGAGATTGCCCAGCTGAGGAAGTCTACATTATAGATCAGGGATGGTGTAAGGTCCTAGTGGCTCAGTCTAGCAAAAAAGATCACACACTAAGAGAAGGAGCCACCAATTTTCCAATGGGAAACTGAGGATCCATTCCTTTCCCCACCTCCCTATATGTCAATGGCTTCCCCACCAGAAGGAGGAAGTTCACGATTGTCAGACAGCCCACCTCCTTCTGTTTCACCCTGTACTCCTGAGGCCATTATGCCCCTACAACCAAGTTCCAATCAGAACCACTGAGTAGGGACCTCTGATTGGCACAGGGAGCAGTGGCATCAGAACTTCAAATACCCTTATGAGGGGCCAGAGGCCCACAGTACATTGCTAGTGATGGAACCCTATAGGGAACAGGACTGGTTTATTACTACCAGCCTTTTTCCTCAACTGATCTCCTTGACTGGGACATCATACACCATCATACTCTGAAAATCCCCAAGTGCTGACTGATCTCTTGGAATGTATTCTCCAAATACTCATTGTCCTCAATACTCTCAATACTCACTGTCCTACTTGGCTGGACTGTCAGCAGCTCCTCCTCACCTTGTTCAACAATGGGAACAACAGTAAATGGTAGCTGAGGCTCCAAAATGGCTCCAAACTGTAGCCCCAGGAGGACAACTAGATATAGAGAGCTGAGCATGAGGAGCCTTCCTCAAGAAGGAGCCCCAGTGGGACCCCAACATAGAGATGGGAAGAAGCCAGATAGAAAGTTATCAGCAGGCCCTCTTGCAGGGAGTAAAAGCTGGAGCAAAGAAACCCACTACCATAGCCAAGACCACTGAGGTGTTACAGATACCAGATCAATGTCTGGCTGTCTTTTATGAAAGACTACTTGAGGCCTTTAGGGTTAACACCCTCTTTGACCCTGAGGCCCCTGAGAACCAGTGAATGGTGAATGCAGCCTATGTGGGGCAAGCTCAGTCAGATATCCAGAAGAAATTACAAAAGTTAGAGGGGTTTCAAGTAAAAATTCCACAGAGCTACTAAAAGTAGCTATTTTTTTTTCTCAATCACAACCAAGAAGCTTGCAAAGATGTAAAAAAAATGGTTGAAACAGAAAGCTGTGCTTCTAGCAGCTGCCCTGTTAATACCTGTACCCAGGAAGACCACCCCATAAGTCAAGGGGTCTCACACTAGAAAAGAGAAACCCCCTTGGTTGTGATCAGTGTGCATATTACATGGAAAAGGGAGAAATGAATGCCCCAACCACCCAGAGAGAATGACCAAAACGGCTGACCCACCAGGCCAATATCAACCCGAGACACCCAGCACAAATCTGATCAGCCTAGCTGGAACAGAATCCAACTAGGGGAGAACTGGCTCTCTCCAATTAGTCCCCTGAGAGCCTATGGCCAGAATTAGAGTAGGGGAAAGATGGTGGAATGAGTTGGACATCATTACCCTAGGTACATGTAAGACTGCAGGAATGGTGCATCCCTACACCATGTTCAAACAGATAATTGAAATGTAGTGCTCCATTTGTGTATGATGAATTGAAATGCATTGTGCTGTCATGTACAACTAAGCAGGAAAGAAAGGAATGAAGGAAGGAAGGAAGGAAGGAAGGAAGGAAGGAAGGAAGGAAGGAAGGAAGGAAAGGAGGGAGGGAGGGAGGGAGAGAGAAAGAATTAGAATAGGGGGCAACCATTGGACTTCATGGTAGACACTGGCCCTGAATAATCATGATCATCCAATAAGTAGCTCCCTTCTCAGGGGAGGAAACCACAGTCTTCAGGGCAACAGATGCTCAGACATGTAGGCCCTTCTGTGGCCCCCGGTGATGCCAGTTAGGAGGCTATGAAGTGATGCATGAATCTCTTTACCTACCCAACTGGCCTCTCCCCTTGATGGGGAGAGGGCTGGCTTGCCAAAAAGGGACCCAAATTTCCTTCTCTGCTGATGGATCAGCTGAGTTAGAATTAGCAACACTACCCTTCCCTTTAACTATGATTCTTGCTATGAGTAGAGAAAGAAAATGTCGCCTATACTCCATCCCCAGAATAGGATCATTCCTACTAAATTAGAAACTGAGTACTCACTAGTGTGGGCTGAGGGGAAATCCCCCAGGCCTAGCCAAACATCATGTTCCCATTATAAATGATTTAAAACCAGAGGCCCCCTTGAATGAGAACTAAACTAGGAAGTGGCCTTTCATACAATTAAAGCCAAACTCTCTGAGTACCCAGGCCTAGGACATGCTAATATAACCAGAGAGTTCAAGCACTTTGTTCATGAAAAAACAGAATGGTACTAGGAGTCCTAACCCAAGAATTTGGACCTTGGCAAAGTCCAGTGGCATGTTTATCTAAAAATACTGCCTCAGTCACCCATAGATGGCAACCCTGCCTCAGAACACTGCAGCCACTACTTTCCTGATAAGGGAAGCTGACAAGCTGTTACTAGGGCAAGAGCTCAATCTTAAAGGCCCACATGCACTTGTAAGCCTGAGGAACTGCAGAGGTCACCATTGGCTCACAAATGCACAAATGACTCAATATCAACTGTTGCTATGTGATAATCCATGTGTGAAAATAGAAATTGTTCGAAGCCCAAACCCAGGTGTCATCTACTGGAAGAAGCAGGGTCCCCTGAACATGACTGTGTAGAAGTCCTGGATGAAATATTTTCCAGCAGACCACACTTGACTGATAGACTGCTCCAGAGCCCAGACTGGATCCTATATACTAATGTTAGTAGTTCTATGAAAGATGGAAAGATGATGGCTGGGTATGCTGTGCTGTCTGACTCTAAGGTAGTACAGGCAGAAGCACGTCCCCAAGGGTGGTCAGCTCAAAGAACGGAATTGAGGGTATTAATTAGGGCATTGGAACTCGGCAAAAACCAGCAGGTCAGCACCTACACTGACTCACAGTATGCCTGTGCTACTCTAAATGCCCACAGAGCTAGACACAAGGAAAGAGGGCCCTCACTGCAGAAGGGAAAGGAATCAAACCCCAAGCTAAAATTTTAAAACTTCTGGAATTGGTATGGGAGCCAAAGGAGGTGGCAGTAGTCCACTGCAAGGGCCACCAAAAGAGATGACCCAGAGGTAAGACAGAACCACCACACTAATGCTGCCACCCAACAGGCTGCCTAGGAGCTGCTGCAGGAAATCCCCAAATCTTGCTTTCTCCAAAAATGCTGCCTATTCCCAGGTACTCTCCCATGGAAGAGGAATGGATTAAAAAAAGAAGGGGGAGTAAGGCTAAGACAGGCTGTGGGCTCACAAGAGACCACTGAGTTGATATTCCAGAACAACGAGCATCCAGTCTGCTCCACCAACAAAATGAACTATCCCACATTAGGACAACTGCCATGGAATCCTTATGAGGCTGGTACTACCTCATGGCTCAGCTCCCAACACTCCACTCCTCTGTCTCCCAGAGATCTATGACCTGCTGACAAAACAACACTCCCCAGGGACCCAGAAATCCAGCAGGAACATAGCTTTGTGGACTGACCCCATTTGAATATATGAAAGTGGATTTCACTGAAGTCACCCTGAGCCCAGGATATAAATATTTATTAGCTTCTGTCTGCACCTTCTCAGGGTGGGTGTAAGGTTTTCCACCATGAATGGAAAAGGCAAGGGAGGTCACTAAGTCTCTCCTGAGGAACATTATTCCCATATACAGGATGCCCCTAACCATAGGGTCAGACATGGACCAGCATTTGTGGCTGAGGTTGTACAGCATATGGCAAGGGCTTTAAAATTTCAGTAGAAAATACGTGACCTGAACCCTCAGGATAACATTAGCTAAAGTATGTCAGGAAACTGGCCTGTCCTAGATAGACATGTTACCCAAGGCCCTCTTAAAACTGAGATGTTCACCCCAGAAAAGTATAGGATTTTCATCATTTCAAATCCCACATGGGCAACCACCCCTGCTGATCAACTTAAGGTGAGACATAAGAGAATTGGGAGACTTAGATTTACATAAGCACCTATGAGGATGGGGCTCCCCATTTCTCACATACACAAGTGGGTCACAGATAGATTACTCATACCCTTGGGTATAGCTGTTCACCCCTGCAAACCTGGGGACTAGGTATAGATACAAGACTAAAAAGGGACCCTTAAAAACAACGTGGAAGGGGCCCTACACTGTAATCTTAACCACTTCTATTGCTCTCAAAGTAACAGGAGTAGAAGCCTGGATCCACCTCTCCAGAGCCAAACCTGCTGGTCCAACTGAGGATCAGGGGAGATCAAGGACAGTCCTTATCCAGAAAGACCCCTGCGCCTGACAGTACAGAGAAGGAGACGACGATCCCAAGGCCTTGCTCTGGCCACACCGGAAGCTGGTCAGTCAACGCACGGCTGAAGCCTGAGGAGTCAACATCCTGGTGAAAACACGAACAGTTTTTTTTTTTCTCTACAAATATTTCCTTACTAAAACCTGCCTTCCTTTTCACACCATGTATGCTTATTGCTATTGTTTGCTGTTATTCATCTGGTCCCCCACAGTCCTGCCAGATTCCCCCTCCTCATGTGACCCATGTATCCAAGTAACTCTATCCCACCAGGGAGTTGCATGGACCTTCCTCTATTCCACACATTTCTCCTGCCCAGGAGAAATTCAGGAGGGTTGTATTCATAACGGAACTATGTATTCCATTTGTAAACATGGGGACCAATATACATGCTTTGACCCACAATACTCACCAAATGAGGAGTGGTTAGAGGTGCGGCGCCGTTACATGAAAGGGCCTCTAATCACTCAAACGCTAATCACCAACCCGAAGTTACCAGTATCAGTTCTCTTTGATGCCTGTGAAGCTATGGATGGATCTTGGTTGCAGGAGGGGGCAACACCCTGTGGAAGCCTATCATGGGAACGATCATACAGGCTTCAAGATAAATATATGTGTGAGCAACACACATCCTTCTGGGCCAGATGCAGGGCTATGGATGAATTCTATTGTCCCTATTGGGGATGTGAGTCCTGGACTACATGGAATAAAGGAGACAAAGTAGCCATCCTTCAAAAGGGCACAGCTCCTCCTGACTGCCCAACTAAAACCTGTAACCCAGTTAATTTCACCATTTACAACACAAATGAACCCAGATGGAAGGAGGGCTTTATGATTGGCATACGCATACATGGGTGGGGTACTGACCCTGGAATTCTGTTATACTTCCAAAGGGTTACAGTCACACTCCAAACTGCCTCTCACCAGATCGTTCATTCATTTTATGAGAAAGGAAACACCCTACCACCAATTTTTGTCAAAACTAAGAACTCATTCTTAGCCTTAGCAGTAACCACTGCACAAAACTTAAAGGTCTCTTCTTGCTATGTATGTGGGGGAACAAATATGGGAGACCAATGGCATTGTCAGGCTATAGAATTAGAACTATTGGAGCTTTACAATGAGACCAGGCACCCCCAATGTCTTGATGGAATACGGTTCCTCAAAACTTCCATCATAGGCAGAAACTGCCTTGCCAAAAAAGAAAAGCAATGCAATGTTCCTGTTGGGAGACTAATATGTTTAGGCCACAGGTACTATAATGTGACAACTCTGAAAACCCAATCCTGGGGTTCCTCAAAATACAGGGAGCCTAATCCTAACTCCCTCCCTAATTCCTCTCACGTCCTACAGGCATGGGGTAATGTCGGTACCAGACTCCAATGCCAAGCCTCAAAAGGATCATATTAGATATGTAGAAAGATGGCCTATTCTGTGCTTCCTCCTAACTGGTCTGGGGCATGTGTATTAGGGACAATATGACCATGTTTCTTCTTGCTCCCATTATCAAAAAAGGAACAATTGGGAATCCCTATATGTAAAACACAGGGCACTGAGAAAAACCAAAGAGACGTACAGATTGGTGATTGGAAGGATGATAAGTGACTCCCAGAATGCAGTATTCAGTACTATGGACCTGCTACTTGGGCAGAAGATGGGTCTAGGGAATATTGTACCCCTATCTATATGATAAATTGCATTATAAGGTTACAGGCACTTTTGGAGATTATAACAAATGAATCCAAAGAGGCTCTCAATATGTTGGCTCAAAAACAAACTAAGATGTGGAATGCCCTTTACCAGAACCCTTTGGCCTTGAACTACTTACTTGCCTCTGAGGGAGGAGTCTGTGAAAAATTCAACTTGAGTAATTGCTGCTTACAAATAGATGGCCAGGGAAAGTTATAAAAGAGATCACAGATCATATGGTAAAAATTGCCCACGTGCCTGTACAGACATGAAAAGGATGAGACTCAGCCACTTCAGAGGCTGGTCCTCTTGGATAGGTAGAATTAAGACAATGATTGATGATCATGGTTATGTGATGACGGCCATATTTATTGGGTGCTTGCATATTCCTTGCCTCCTGCCCCTCCTAATCTGTGGTATAAGAGGTTTTATAGAGACAGTGAAAGTTAAAAACAGACAGTTTCTCATCTATTGCTTATGAGAGGATCCCATCACATGAAAAAAAAAAAAGATGCTTCCTGAAGGCTGCAGATGCATTCTGAGCATCAAGGGCAGGGGATGAAGCAGCAACTCCTTCCTAAGATGTTTCTTTTTCCTTTTTATCTCTGTTAATAACTGCAACCTGCTAGTTTCAGCTTCTGTAATCATGCTTGCTTAGCAGCTGTGGCAGGAACCAGAGCTGCCAGAAAGAGAAGGGATCAAGTCTACTTCTACAAGAAAGTCTTAAAACCCAGAAGTCTGTACTGTGTAAAAGACACTGAGAACAAAGGGCTGTGCTCAGCTTTAGAAGAGGCCTCCACCGAGTCTGCACCACTCCTGAATAAACCTTGCTCTTCTGCAACTCCAAGTGCTGCTTGTCTCTTTCCAGTTGCATAATTTTCTGTATTTTTTGGTAACAATACAATCAAAAAAATATATGAAATTTATTTAAAGTACATATTCAATATCAAGTTCCTACCACAAGATTCAGGACTCACTGCTATCAGACTAAGAAGCCATCTCTGAGATGAGCCTAAAAGGCCACAACAAAGCACATAAGAAGGCAGTGGGATAAAACTCCATTTCCTTTTCCCATGATAGTGTCAAAAGGGCTGTTCTACGTTAGGTGATTTTGTCAACCTGGTAGACACTATTCTACTATGTGGTTATGAACGATCTATGAGCTCACTTGAACCAGGACTCACTCATATCATAACAGGGATGGAAGTTGGGTTCTCCTGAGCACTGCTCCCTTTAGATGAGGAAAAGCTTCAGCAGCTATCACCACTCAGATCTTCAGAAACCACCTCCTTCACACACTTAATACAAATCCAACTAGGAGCTTTGCAGAGAGAAACAGAACCCAAAAATCACTATGCCTCATCAGCCTAAGATGATGTGCCTAGCTCAGTGACCAATGACACTAGTACAACTAGGTAGGAATCACATCAGTGAGAAGGTAAAATGGGCTTCACACCAGGGCCTATTCATTCACTTTTACTCATCTTTCTACCACTAACCAAAAATTTTGAAAAGGAATAAGAAATGGCCTATATTCATGCAGGCATTTATGATCCCTCAATAATGGGATGCTGCCTTGGGTCAGGAGGTTCACACAACTCTTTCCTCTAGACTAAGTGGGGCAGCAGGTCTGAGAGCAAGAATGAGACAACTAGGGTCTTGTGTCCCTTTCTTCCCACACCCCAGGTATGCTAGGCCCCATCAGTGGACACCCACACCCTCCACTGAGTCCAAATACCTGGAGGCAGGATTCTCTCTTCTCACCAGACCAACTCTTTCTCCTTAAGAATGGCATCACAGTTGCCATGGTTACCATAATTACATCAGGTTTCTATGACAACTGTGATATGCAAATTGGTCCTCCCCACCAGAAATGTCTCTGCAGAGGCCTATTCTTTATCCTCTTATATTTCTTTAAAAGCAAGATACCTCACTCTTCAGGCCACCACATGAGAAAGTGTAGTATTTAGAGGAACTAGGTTCAGACACAGTCAATGCAAAGAACTCTGTCCACACCCTCAGAGGAGTCCAAAGTCCTTAAGGAGGGGCCCTGCTCCAATCACCAGTCCAAGGAAGTCTCTAGTAAAAAGTCATCAGGGTCACCAGGATGATGTCAGGTTACTATGGCAACCAGCAGTGCATCAAATTGGAAATGTTTCTTTTTGGCTCTTTGTCATCTTTCTTTTAACTGGAAAAAAATAAATCCCTTCACACTTCAGGCCACCACCTGAGAAAACATACTAATTAGAGGGACTAACTTTGGGCTAATGCAATTTGAGGAACTCTGCCCAATTTGGTGGAAAAAAAGCATGATCCTGTTGTCCAAAATTGTTTTGGCTTTAAAAGTAAGGCTAGAGCCAGGTGCAATGGCACACACCTTAAATCCCAGTGGCTTGGGAGACTGAGGCAGGAGGATTGCAAGTTCACAGTGAGCCTCAGCAACTTAACAAAGCCCTAAGCAACTTAGCAAGACTCTGTCTCTAAACAAAACACAAAAAAGGCTTGGGATATGTCTCAGGGGTTATCACCCCTGGGTTCAATCCCCAGTACCCTGCAAAAAATTAAAAATAAAAATAGACACACACACACACACACACAAAGAGAACTTTTAAAATAAAACTTACACTTAAGGAAATTGTACTAGCACGCAGATTCCCAAGAATATCTCCTAGGGATCCTGGTGATGAGGTAGCCTTCTGTAGGTGAGCACATAAAATACACCATTCTGAGCAGTTATCCATCTATTGGAAAACTAAGATACTGCTCATAATTACTCAACTCTATGAACTAAGAACACAAAAAAATGTCATTTGGGAATCTGAATTATTTCAGGGAGACAGGAGTAGAATAGCAGTAAAGTCACCCAACATTGGTTAATCCTGAGGAATTCTTAATCTCTATTCCTGATATATTCTTCAATGTGGAAAGACACATCTCCCTCTCTATAATCACTCCTTCTCTATCACATGAATGACTTGGTTTAGGAAGATAAATAGGGGTTGTACATCCAAGGTCTCTCCCCTCAAGACTCTTGGTAGTCATGTGCTTTTTAGGAGCACTTGTTCTCTACCCTCTGGGTGGATCTTAAAATGGGCCCACAGCTCTTCTCTTGATTTTTTTGTCTTTCTTTCTTCCTTTTTCTTTTTCAGTGTTGGGGATGAAACCCAGGGCCTTCACATGCTAGATAAATACTCCACCACTGAGTTATATCCCCAGACCACTTTTTGTGTTTTTATTGCTCCAAATATTCCTGTTTTTACTTCACATTGCTTATGTCTTTAAGGGGCACCCAAAAGACCCTGATGCTCGAAACCTGAGATATGGGACCAAAGATGAAGAACATCACATCAACTTTATGTTGACTTAGATTGGCTTGCCAGTCAGCTTCCTGCTAATGATTCCCAGAATTGGGCAGACTTATCCAACCTGCAGGGCTGTTTAGGGAGAGTCACAAAGGCCAAGGACTGCAATATTTACCTACCAACTGTCTACTAAAGGAGTCCTGCCTGTGTGTGCCTAATGAAAGTGACTTCCTTGCCAATGGTAACCCCTATAGCAGTACACAGTGTTTCAGGACAATACTTCTTAAGGTGAATAAATGCCCCTTGTTATTATTTTAACTCATCACACAACCAGGAGACTCAGGATTGTTATGATGCCTATTATTCCCAATCTGATCTACAGATTCAATGTAAACTGAATAAAAATTCTACCAATCTTTTTTAAAAAATTGATAGACTGATTCTAAAATTCATATGGAAATTCAAAGATCATAAACAATGAAAGCCAAATTTGAAAAAGCACAAGTGAGTGGACAAACTACTCCTGATTTTCAAGATTCATTATAAACCAACAGCAATGAAGTCAGTGTGCTCAAGCATCAATACAGGAAAGCAGATCAAAAAAAAAAAAAAAAAAGAATCCAGAAAAACATCCTCAGGTATGCATAAGGAGAACTAATTTTGAGAAAGACACAGATACAGTTCAGTTGAGAAATAATACTCTTTTCAAAAATGATGCTGGAACTTTTGGATATCTGTATGACAAATATAAAAGCTGATCCATATAATACATCACATGTAAATATAACTCAAAAATGCATCACAGACCTAAATATGAAACAAGCACCAATCTCCTAGAATAAAACTCAGGAGAAAATCATTTTGCCTTTTGCCCAAGCAAAGATATCATAAAGGACACACAAGTAATACAATCTATAAGTGAAGAAATCGATAAACTAGGCTTCCTCAAAATTAAAAATGTTAATTCTTCCAAAGACACAGTTGAAAAAAAATGAACAGTAAAGTCACTGACTTGCAGAAAATATTTCAAATTTATATATCTGATAAAGGACTTATTTCTATATGATAGAAAAACCTCTCAAAAGTCACCAATATAGACTCTGTAATAAAAATACAGACAAATATTTAGAAAGCCATTATCTGAAGTAGTATCAAATGAGCACATGAACAGTAGTAATCATCAGAAATCAGCAAAATGTAAATGGAAACTACAATGAGATAACACTACTCTGTTCTCTATACTTATGACCTTATCTAAAACTAATTATCTCTTAAAGGTCACACATTCAAATAATATCCCACTGGGCAGTAGGTCTTCAACATATCAGTTCAGGAGGTTGGCACAAATTCATTCTGTCCATAGAGAATCCTAGTTTGTGGAAAATTTAATAACTCCAAATTGTTATATTCATTTGTATAATACTTAATATAATCTTAAATTTGTAGATAAACCTATTAAATATTTTTCCTTAAGTATATATAAAAGAATATTTTTATTGTTAACAAAATAAATGGTAATCTTGGTTCCCATACACAAGTCTTCTCTAGGGGATTTTATGTACTGGATACTTAAGTCTTTCCCAAGTATTCAGAAATTTGAGCTGGGGTGTGGCTCAGTGCAGAGTGCTCACCTAGCAATGGATGAGGCACTGGGTTAGATCCTCAGCACCACATAGAAATAAATGAATAAAAAAGGCATTGTGTCCATCTACAACTAAAAAATATTTTAAAAAGTATTCAGAAATTCTTCTCCTGTTTCATATATTCATGGCTAAGATAATTTTGAAAACTAAAACCAATATGTAAACTTAATAAAATAAGCCAGATCAAAAAAGAACAAGCCATCTGATTACACTGAAATACAAGTATAAGAACTCAAATTAATATGTTAACAAAACATAAGTGAATGCCTAGGGACAGAACATGATGAAGGGAAAATGTTCTAAAAATGTGATGTTCTAGAAAAATAACCATAACAGTATTTAAGAGCACCTGGTCATTTGAAAGATGTTACTAAGTATCACAATAATAGGACAAATAAACAAGTAATTGTTCTTTTACAAATTTTAAAATCTTCTAAATGACATTTTAAGCTAAGCCTTGGAACATTTCTGGCTTAAAATAATCATTAGACTCTACTCATGTATATAAAAATTTTAAAAAATAATTATTGGACAATAAATAAAACTGTGGCTACTCAGGAAAATTCATGGTACCATTTCATATTGCTAGAAGGACTTTTCTTGTAATCAACGGCATATTTCCATGCTCAACATAGATTTGTCAATTATTATTAATAGTTAGAAAACATACTTATTGCATATGTATGTTAAATACTGAGTTCCTTACACAACTATTTATTACTTTGTAACAAAAAAGGAATACCTCAGATGGGCCTCAAGGGTAAATACAAAGCATGGTAGCTGATGAAGTTAAATTTCACCTGCCAAATCTCTTCAGGATCAGATCACAATAGTTTCTCTACTTTCTGGCTATTTGTGAAGCTGTGTGTGCTATTCTGCCATATACTCTTGTTTAGATCTCTGAACTCACTTGGGCCAGGCCTTACATCTTATATCAGGGATGGAAGTGTTGGGGGTCTCCTGAGCACTGCTGCCCTTCAGATCTGGAGCAGAAGCTTCAGCAGCCAAAATGACGCATATCCTCAGAAACTGTCTTCTTCAGACACTTGATATGAGCTCAGTGACCAGACGAAGAGCTGCCCAGAGGGAACCAGAATCCAGAAGTTACTGTTTTGTTGGAATAGCTATATCCATGGAACCATGCTAAGCATGGAGCATTCGGGATCCCACAAATAACCACAGAGCAATGGGGCTTACACCTGTGTTATTCCAGAAGGTTCCAGCAGTGCCGTGGGGGAGCATTCCTACCCACATTTTACAGAGGACAAGCTGGGTCACAGAGGGCGCTTCCCTGTCTTACCCTCCTGCCCCCCCTACCCACATTTTACAGAGGACAAGCTGGGTCACAGAGGGCGCTTCCCTGTCTTACCCTCCTGCCCCCGCCTTTACATTCAAAGGAGGTCCAGGACACCCTGCAGTGGGACATCACTGGGGCCAGGAGGACCCCAGTCTCTCTCCCTCTCACATCAGGGGGGCAAAAAGTCCCAGAACAGAAACTAGGCAATTTGGGTCAGGGATCCCTTTGTCTCCCCCTTTTCCCAGGGAGGCTCAGCCCCACAGCGGGGCACCCACACCTTCCCCTGAGTCCAAAGACCTGTTGGTGGGGCCCTACTCTGGGACCACAGCAAGTTGGTCTCCTTTAGAATGTCTTCACAGTTGCCATAATGACGTCATGTTTCTATGGCAACCGCGATGGGCTGGTTGGTACTCAGCTTCTGCACGGGCCTCCTTTTGTCCCTGTGCCTTTCTATAAAAGCAAAACACCTTCATTCTTCAGGCCACCACCTGAGAAAGTGCACTAATTAGAGGAACTAGGCTGAGACTCAGGCAATGGGGAGAACTCTGCCCACACCCTCAGATGGGTCCAAATTCCTGAAGGAGGCGCCCTGCTTCATGAGGGAAGTCTCCAGGAAAAAGTGGTCAAGGTCACTTTGTTGAGGTGAGGTTACTATGGCAACTGCGAGCTCTGGCTGTTCCATCAAATTGGAAGCGTTTCTTCTTGGCTCTTTGGCTTCTTCCTTTTAACTGAGAACAAAATTGCTCCACTCTTCAAGCCACTACCTGAGAAACCACACTAATTAGAGGGACTAGGTGGGGCCAAGGCAATTTCAGAAACTCTGACCAGTTTGGAAGAAAAAAAGCAAGTCCTTGTTTTCAGGAATTGTCCTAGCTCTAAAGGTGACACTAGGGGTATAGTACAACACACAGAGTCCCAGGAATATCTCCTAGGGCTCTTGGAAATGAGCTAGCCCTCAAAAGGTGAGCATGTAAAATATACCATTGTAAGCAGTTAGCCAATTGATAGAAAACTAAGAGACTGTCCTCAACTACTACTCTATATGATCTACAAACACCAAAAAATGTCATTTGGGGAATGGTATATTTCACAGAGGCAGAAGTAGAATAATATTGTCATTTAGTAAGTAGAAAGCTAGTCAAGTCATCGATACATTGATTGATCCTGAAGAATTCTTAATCACTACCATGATATTTTCTTCAATATCAAAAGATACCCATGAGAAAACACATCTCCCTCTCTATATATCCACTCCTGAACCAAAAGAATGACTTAATATGGGGGGATCAATAGGGGTTTCCCATCCAGGCCCTTTTCCCTCAAAATTCTAAGGAACACTTGTTCTGCTCTACCCCCTGAGGTTGGTCTTAAAATGGGCCCACAGCTCTTCTCTTGCTTTGTCTCTCTTCATTCTCTCTTCATCTTTCAGTGTTGGGGCTTAGATGCAGAGTTTGCATATGCTAGATACTCTACCACTGAGCTAAAACCTCAGCCCAATTTTTGTTTTTTTACTCTAAATATTGTTGCTTTTACTTTACTTCACTGTGTTAGTGTCTTTAAGGAGAACCAAAAAGAGCCTGATGCTCCAAATGTGAGCTTTACACCAACTGAGCTATGTGACCAAAGATGAAGAACATCACATCAACATATTTCTATAAAGCTGATATTGAAGAATGTGACTTAGATTGGCTTGCCAGTGAGCATCTTACTAATGATCCCCAGAATTGCGCAGCCTTATCCAACCTGCAGGGCTGTTTAGGGACAGTCACAAAGGCCAAGGGCTATAATGCATACCCACCAGCTGACTAATGAAGGAGTCTTGTCTGTGTGAGCCTAATGAAAGTGATTCCTTGCCAAGGACAACCCCTGTAGCAGGACACGGTGTTTCAGAACAACACTTTTTAAGGTGAATAAATGTCCCTTGTCATTATTACAAACTCATTACAAAACCTGCTGAAGAAAGTTTTTCATATGGCTCAGGGTACACTTAGTACTAAAGTCTTCTCAATTCATGAACATGAATGATTGCAGTGGATGCTCATCTTATGGAGATGGGTTTGAATTAGGTTCCAAATTCCCGAAGAGGTGTGAAAAATCACATAGAGAAAATTCCTTTGGAAATTGCTTCACAGAGGAATTCAGGAAATGTTCAGAACTTGACACCCACAAACAAAATGTCCTACAGATTATAGCCAAAATTATAGCCAGACCTTTCAGATATAATAGAATTCCTATATTGTGCAATGATAGCAAACCACAAAAAAATAGAAATAATACACCTTAGACCACAGGAGTGATTTCCATTTTTGCTTAAAATTCTCAAGCAATACCCATTTATTATCATTCTGGTGTCTGTGTATTGACAAGGATGAGTAGGTATTTTTTTCCTCTATGTAGTATCTGTCATTTAAGGCTAACTCTCCCCATGGTGTTGTCATCTCTGTCATCTGGAGCTCCACTCATCTGGAACATCTGAGAGAGCTCACTTCCATGAATCATGAGTGCTGATGTCATTTCTTGGGAGGTCAGCTGGGGTTGTTGACAGGAGCACCTTGGTTCCACCCTACAAGCTCCCCTTGTGCAAGCCTGCCAGATAAAATACACCTATTCGAAATGAATTGCAGATAAACAACAAATCATTTTAGTATAATTATTTGGCATTCAATAAAATTTTATGTTTGTTTCTAAATTCAAACTTACCTTAGCATCCTGTATTTTTATTTGCTACATCTGATAACTCCATGTAATGGCTTCAGAATGTGTAAGTTTAAAGATCATCTGAGATGACACTTCCACTAGGAAAGGTCTAGAGAAAATAAGATGATCTAATGAGAAAGACAAAATCTTCTAGCAAAACAAGACAAAATCATATCCCTGGAAATATTGACAAATGCTGGTTAGTGGGGGCCTGCAATTGTAGCTCAGTGTTAGAGGTTGCCTAGCATGTGTGGGCACTGGGTCCTGTCCTCAGCACCACATAAAAAAATTTAAAAGGTATTGTATCCACTTAACAACTAACAAAAACTAAAAAAAAAAAAAAAACTAGTTGGGGATCTTGGGCTATACCTCAGTGGAAGACCGCTTGCCTCTCAAGTGTGAGGCACTGGATTCAATCTCAGAACTACATAAAAATAAATAAAGATAACATATCCATCTACAACTAAAAAATACTTGAAAAAAAAAAAAACTAGTTGGGCCAGGTGCAGTGGTGGTTGCACGCCTGTAATCCCAGTGGCTCTGGAGGCTGAGGCAGGAGGATCACGAGTTCAAAGCCAGCGTCAGCAATGGCAAGGCACTAAGCAACTCAGTGAGATCCTGTCTCTTAATTAAATACAAAATAGAGCTGGGGATGTGGCTCTTGAAGACCTACTATGTGCCATACACTCTGTAATGGGAATCTTATTTACCCATTATTATAGTTCTGTCAGGAAGGCATCATAAACATTTTTAGAGAAGGACAAGAGTAGTAATAAAACCTGAAATTTCACTAAGAGTTTTCCTATTTTTTTCCTGAAGCCACCAGGAATCTGAATGTACAAATCTCCCCAAGTGCTCATATACAATGCTGCCAATGATATAGATTAATTAATTCATATAATGAGACACATTATTTTAAGTTATGATACTGGAAATTTTAAAACATATAAAATCAAACACATTTTCCATTCTGGACTAACCTACATTTTCAACCAAACAGATCTGTCACAAGTAGAATGAAACATTTGGATGCTGACAGTTCACAGAAAATATTATAATTAGGAATTATATTTTTAAAATAATGTCATGTATAGCAGCATCAACAAGTATGGAATCTTGAAATGTATGGTGACACAGGCCTCTAATCCCAGCTACCTGGCATGAGAATCGAAAGTTCTAGGCCAGCTTCAAAAATTTAGCACAACCCTGCTTCAAAAAAAAAAAAATAGATGGAATTTTGTAGCTGAGTGGTAGAGTGCTTGCTTGGCATGTGTGAGGCACTGCTGGGTTTGATCCTCAGCACCATATAAAAAAATAAATTAAATAAAGAATAAAAAAGGCCTGGGGATATAGTTCAGTGGTAGAGAGCTTCTGTGTTCAAAACCTAGTGCCAACATTGTATAAAATGTTATGAAAATTTGGCCACAGATGTGCAATGCCTATACACTGAATAACACAAAATATTGCTGAGAGAATTAAGAAGGCTCTAAATCAATGTCAGAGGAAACATTCATATGTCAGAAGTCTTAGTATTAGTATAAGATTTATTCTCTCAAAACCAATTTACAGATACAATGCAATCCCAATAAAAATTCTACCAAAATCTTTAAAAAACTGACAGGCTGATTCTAAACTTCAGGTGGAAATACCTAAGATCCAGACTATGAGAACAACACTGAAAAAGAACACAGTTAGAGAGAAATATACATGATTTTAAAAAATTGTTGTGAATCTATAGTAATCAAGACAGCACACCACTGGTATCAATTTAGACAAATACATCAAAGAACAGAATGAGGAGTCCAGAAATACACCCACATCAACATGGACAGCTGATTTTTCACAAATTGAGAAAAGCAATTCAGGAGGAAGGATAGTCTATTCAATAAATGGTGCTGGGACAAGTGGATATCCATATGAATAAATGTAAACTATGATCCACACATGCTGTACCATATACAAAAATCAACTAAAAATGGATGATAAATGTACACATCGAAACCTAAAGCTACAAAACATCTAGGAGAAAAAAGGAGAAATCCCATGTGATTTTGGATTAGATTACAATTTCATACATAAGACACCAAAACCTCAATTCATAATTGAAAAACTCACGGCTGGGGATATAGCTCAGTTGGTAGAGTGCTTGCCTTGCATGCACAAGGTCCTGGGGGTTCAATCCCCAGCACTACAAACAAAGAAGGAGGAGGAGGAAGAGGAGAAAAAGAAAAACTCAACACTTTGGAATTCCTCAAAGTTAAAATCTCTAGCTGGGCAGAGTGTTGCATGGCTGTAATCTCAGTAGCTCCAGAGGCTGAGGCAGGAGGATCTCAAGTTCAAAGCTAGCCTCAGGAAAAGTGAGGTTCTAAGTAACTCAGTGAGACTCTGTTTCTAAATAAAATGCATGATAGGGTTGGGAAGGTAGCTCAGTGGTCGAGTGCCCCTGAGTTCAATCCCTGGTACCTCTCCCCACAAAAAAAAAAAAAAAAAAAAATGTTAATGTCGCCCAAAGTCACAGTTGAAAAAATTATAAGATAAGTATACTGGCTGTGATAAAATGTTTGAAAAGCATATATCTAATAAAGGATTTATTCTAGAATGGAAAAAAGCCCACAGAAGTTAAAAGAAGAAAATAAGACACCCCACAAGACATACAGGCAAAAGATTTGAATAGACACACTGCTAAAGAAGATATATGAATGTCAAGTATGCAAAAAGATGCTCATAATTAATCATTAGGAAAAGGGAAAAGAATGCTCAACAAAATTAATCATTAGGAAAAGGGAAGAGAAAATAACAATGAGATACTAGCACATTCCCATGAGGATGGTCAAAATTGAGAAGACTAACCATACCAAGCACTGACAGGATTGTGGAAGACACAACTCTCATACACTGCTGGTGGCAATGGAAAAGGGTACAACCATGGCCAACAGTTTGGTAGTTTCTAGTCATGTTAATCTTATATTTAAGATGTGATCCAGTCATCTATTCCTAAACATTTACTCTAAGGGAAAAATGCATATCTCCATGAAAGGCTTATGAGGAAATCTGATAGGAGTATTATTTACAAGAGTCCCTACTGAGACCAGCATGGTAGCATATGTCTATAATCACACCAGCTCTGGAGGCTGAGACAAAAGGATCACAAGTTCAAGACCAGCCTCAGCAATTTAGTGAGATCTAAGCAACTTAGTGAGATCTTTTCTCAAAATGAAAAATAAAAAGAGCTAGAGGTAAAGCACTCCTGAGTTAAATCCTCACTACAATTTTTTAAGAAGCCCCAAATTGGAAATAGTCCAAATATCTATCAACAGGTAAAAGTATAAAACACATTGTGCTATAGCTATACCACAGAATACTATTTTGTAATAAAAAAGAATGAACTAGGTTGGGGGTAACTCAGGGATGGAGCACTTGCCTAACAAGTACAAAGTCCCAAGTTTAACCCCCAAAACGGCAAAAGCAAAACCAAACAAACAAACAAAAAGAATAAATGAAAGAGAAAGAACTGTTGATAAATACAATAAATTGCATAAATCTAAAATAATCCAGATTAATAAAATAAGCCAAATTTAAAAAAAGAAACCATCTTCACAATGCCAATTCAATAAATTTTTTAGACATAAAATCTATCTATAGCAAAAGAAGTGCTGTGCTTACCTGGAGACAGGGCATTAGGTGTGGTATGAAATCTAGGGATATAGAAGTGAAAGTATTTTATCTAGAAAATGAAAACTTTAGGTTTACCTCATTATTTTAAGGACTATAGCTGTGTATTATTATAATTGAGCAAATAGCTGGCATTATTTCTGAAAATACTGAATTCTTGCACTTGGCATTTTCACTAATACTTGAAAACTTCCAGACTTCTTTATTTTTGTTTGTTCTTTATATATATACATGACAATAAAGTATATTTGACATATTACATATATGGAGTATAAGTTATTTTAATTAAGATCCAATTATTGTGGTTGTACATGATGTGAAATTTCACTGTGGTGTGTTCATATATGAACACAGGAAAGTTATGTCTGATTCATTCCACTGTCTTTCCTATTTCATTCCTCACTCCCTTCCCTTCATTCCCCTTTGTCTAATCCACTAAATGTCCATTCTTCTTCTCCCCCTTGTTGTGTGTTAGCATCCACACATCATACAAAACAGTTGACCTTTGTTTTCTGAGGATTGGCTTATTTCACTTAGCATGATAGTCTCTTGATCTATCCATTTACCAGCAAAAGTCAGGAAGTCATCCTTTTTATGACTGAGTAATATTCCATTGTGTATATATGCCACAATGGAATATTAATCAGCCATAAAAACTCTGTAGGTTTTGTGCAGAGTGAGAGAGGGTTTCAATTTCATAGGGATACCCTTATCCCTACATCCTTACCAACATTTAATGTTGTATATATTCTTGATTGTTGCCATTCTGACTGGAGTTCATCAAATTTCAGTGTTGTTTTAATTTATTTTTGTCTAATTGCAAGAGGAACATTTCCTCACATATTTGTTATCAATTCATTATTTCTTCTTCTGTGACGTGCCTGTTCAGTTCCTTTGCCCATGTATTGATTCTGTTATTTGTTGTTTTGGTGTTGAATTTTTCGACTTATTTATATATCCTGGAGATTAAAGCTCTATCTGAGGTACAGAAAGAGCAATAATTTTCTCCTATTCTGTAGGCTCTCCCTTCATGTTCTTGATTGTTTCCTTTGCTGTGAAGAAGTTTTTAGTTTGACACCATCTCATTTATTGATTCTTGATTTTACTTCTTGTACTTTAGAAGTCTTGTTGAAGAAGTCAAATCCTAAGTGACTAGGAGTTTCTTGATGGAGTATTGGGCCAACATTTTCATCTAGTGGACACAGGGTGTCTGATCTAATGTCTATGTCCTTGATCTACTGTAGGTTGAGTTTTGTGCAGAGTGAGAGGGTTTAAATTTCATTCTGCTACGTATGGATTTCCAGTTTTCCCAGAACAGTTTATTGAAGGGGCTATCTTTTCTCCAAGGTATGTTTATGGCTTCCTGGCATCTTTAAAAAAGTTCACTATAGAGTATGTTGCTGGGGCATGGGCCTGTAATCCCAGTGAAATGGGAGGCAGAGACAGGAGGATTGCACGTTTAAGGCTGGTCTTGAGAACTTAGTGAGGTCCTAAGCAACTTAGGGAGATCTTGTGTCAAAAACTAAAAACAGTTGGGCACAGTGGCACATATCTATAATTCCAGTAGCTTGGGAAGCTGAAGCAGGAGGATGGTGAGTTCAAAGCCAGCCTCAACAGCTTAGTGAGACAATGCAGTGAGATTCTGACTCAAAATAAAATATACCAAAGGGCTGGGGATGTGGATCTCAATGGTTAAGTGACCCTGAGTTCAATCTCCAGTACCCTCCCCCCCAAAAAAACATAAAAAGAAAACTTTAAAAAGCTGGGGACATGTAAACATCTTACCCATCTTACCACCATTTTACAGAGGGAAGCTAGGCTCAGAGAGACTTTCCCTGTCTTATTCTTCCTGGTATCACCTTTACATGGAAAGTAGGTTCAGGATACCTGTCTGGGGCCAGGAGGGTCCCACATCTCTCTGCAATGATCTAACAGATTACAGATTGCTCAAAATAATAATAGCAAAAGAGTATTTGATTATGTGTATGTTTGTATGTATGATTATGTATGCTTCTGTATAGGTGAAATGAATGATAGCAATGATACTGGAATGTGAGAGAGGGACTAGGATTAGTCTGTTAATATAAAGTTAATTTCACTTCCTACAATTCTGTAAGGAATTATCTGAAAGTACACTGGAGGAGTTGCAAGTGGATAATACCCCATAGTGTAAACACTAAAACGGACAAGAATAAGTAAAACTGATAAAGTGAGAAAAAATAGAAAAAGTAAGTATAAAAAGTACTTAAACCCACAAAAGGTAGAAAAAGAGCAGGAAACAGAAATATGGACACTGCACAAGGGCAACACATAGAGAATAGGAACAAATAAAATAGATGTTCATTCAACCACATCAATATCACTTTGAATGTCAATGATCTAAATAAACCAAATAAAAGACAATTACCAAAAGGGATCCAAAATCCAAACACCAAATGTATTATGTCTATAAGAAACTCACTTAAATATAAAAAGGCCTAATATTAGCATGGTATGTCTTTTTCCATCACTTTACTTTTAACTTTACTCAAATGAGAGCTGGAATAGACACATGAATCTCAAGCTGGGCTGATATCAGAAAAAGAAAAGTTTACAAGAATAAAAATGGGACTGCATAATGACAAAGAGACCAAATGCTCAAGAAGACATTATAATCCTCAATGTGTAGGTGTCAAGAACATGGGGCTGGGATTGTGGCTAAGTGGTAGAGCACTTGCCTAGCATGTGTGAGGCACTGGGTTCGATCCTTAGCACCACATATAAATAAATGAATAAAATAAATGTCCATCAACATCTAAAAACAATAGTTGAAAAATAACCCCATGGAGGTTACAACTAAAAGAATTTCAGGAGAAATATATGAATCCACTGTCATAATTGGGACTTCAACATGTATTTACAAGAAAAAGAAAGTTGTGGAAAACAGGCAGACAATGATGAGAACATAGGTGAACAACACCACCATCAATCAAAGGAATAGGATTGACAGCCACAGCTTGCTTCAGCCTACCCACGATGGGCTGAAGGGTTCAACCAGGGTATTTCTTCTTCCTGAGTGAGCAGGTTAGGAGTGTGGTACCAGACACAGTCTAGGGACAAACACTACTTCTGACAAACTGCATGACTTTGCATATTTTAGTTCACCTTATCATCCCTCTAATGCCTCCTCTGCAAAACTGGGATTATGCAGTACTGACCCTGGAAGAGAAAATGTTTTGAAACAAACATTACTTTCTGTTTCATTCTGGCACAGGCAAAGGCATATAAATCCCATTATAAAAAAAAATCAAGTGCAACGGTTTTGGGATATCTAGCTCATAATCTTGGGTCTGTATCTCAGTTTCCTCTTCTGTTAAGTAGGGGAAACATTTTTCCTTATGACATAGATTGCTACTTTGAGAATTACATGAGGTGATACCTGAAAACCCTTAGAAGAGTGTTAGGTACAAGGTCAATGAGCAAAATCCTGAGTTGTTGTATAAATACTTGCAAGATGAGATTTTTACAGCTTTGTTTTAGAGTTTGTGTTATTCATCAATTGACACATTATATTAAATCACTAAATTTCACTATGACTACTATTGGATAACCAAATTAACTATCCTGAGAATGTCAGGCACTTGGAGCAACTGATCTCAGAAAACAGCACCACCATGTCTCCACGCAGCTGAACAAGCCCAGGGGCCTTTGATTCTGTCTCATCCTCACACCATCCCCATGCCCAGCCACTGCAGGTCCCTCCTGCCCTTCCTCCAGACATGTGCTGTCCAGGCATACCCCTCCCTCTGCACACTGCTGCAGCACAGCTCCCATCTTCCCTCATCCCTCCCATGGCCTTGGGCAACATACTCCTAATGGTTGTCAGCACAAGATAGTTATCCCTTTCCAATCCTTTACAGAGAGGCCAGTGTTGCCTGAGTAATAAAATACCCAGATCATGTCATGCCCATACACTAACACTCCACACTCAGAATAAACTCCAAACTCCTTACACAGCCCAAACTCTGTGGCTCCATTTGCGCTCTCCACTTACCTCCCACCAGTCTGCACATGGTCCACCAGGATCCAGCCTCTGAGCTTGCACTCTGATCCTGATTCAACTGGTGTCTACACATTGCAGAGACACTGACAGAATGGCTGGTCCATGCCTTGCTTCTTTTTGTCATCCAGGACATAGTTCAAATGTTGCTTCTTTTTTAAAATATTTTTTAGTTGCAGTTGGACACAATAACTTTATTTTATTTATTTATTTTTATGTGGTGATGAGGATTGAACCCAGCATCTCACACATGCTAGGCAAGCGCTCTATCACTGAACCACAACCCCAGCCCCTCAAATGTTGCTTCTTGACAAAAAAAAAATCACTAGTAACACACCCTATCATTGTTAGCATACTTTAAGCCATCTTCCTTTTCCCCACCCTTACCTTAAGAATAATGTTCTTATTCCCAAGAAATAGAAAGTAGCCCGAGATAAAGCCTATCAAACTGGAGACATGCCAGTCTCTCCCTGTTCTCTTATTGAGAGATAGAAGAAAACTTACTGGCCCCTGAGATGGGGACATACTGGTTTCCCTGTTCTCTCCTTGAGAAGATTAAGGGACATGCTGGTTTCCCTGTCCCCCCTCTGAGAGATAGGAAAACTGCCTATCTCTGTTCCCAAGAAACAAACTTGCCTTCCACAAGACCAGGGAATGCTTACTATGTCAGTCAAGACTAAACCCACCCCTGGTGCACGACCATGATTCTAGCCTATAAAAGGAAACATTCAAGGAGGAGTTGCTGCTGCTCTCCTTGCTTGCTGCTGCTGTCCCTCTCTCTGTGCAGAGCAGCCTTGTCAGGCTCCTGACAACAAACCTGCTTCTTATCTCAGGTGTGTGTGATTAGTCCTGCACCACTTTTCTTTCATTCATAATCCTTTTCATTTTCTACTGTTTTTTTTACATCAAAGCACAAATCCTTATATGAAATCAGTCTGCTTATTGATATGTTTTCTTGCTTACTGCCAGTTTTCTAAATGACAATGACAACCAAAGAGCCTACCTATCTTGTTAATCTGTGTTGTTTCCTCAGAGCCTTGAACACAAATCAGTGAATAAACAGTACTTAACTGAGTGAATTGCTTGCAACCTATTTGATACAATACAGAAGACATAGACATCTAAAGTCAACAAGCAGGAAAGACCAACAATTAAATTATACATCAAACATATCAAAATATTAGAGGATCTTGGTATGAATACATAGCACCATTTTTTTAAACCTGTATGACTACCAGAACCAAATGAAGGAATACTAATAAAGTAGACACTTCCTAACTTTCCTCCGTGGTTTTGATTCAGCATTTGAAGTGAACTCAAAAATTGGCCATTTTATTAAGCAACCCCTGGTGATTCTGATGAAGTGATCAATCCATGAACCACACTTGGAAAAATGCTAACCCAACAGCTCAAATTTGTGTACCACTAATTTAATGGCACCCATGAAGATTTCTGGGACATCTGGGGAATCTCTGCTAATGTAATTCTTGTAAATCGCCCAGGTCTTTCCTTGAACCTAACACCACAGGTTATTTTCCCACATGGGATCACACTCAGAGTTCTAAGTTTTCCTGTTGGTCAGAGGATCGTGAATTGTTATCCTATTGAATAATCAAATATCATAGAAAGAAAGTGACTTACCTATAGTATCCTTGTGGTCAGTCCACTCTTTTCCAGTAGCCTGTCTAGTAGACTCCACACCACACTTGCTTCCTCTCTATGAGTTCCTGGTTCTGTATAGCATCCACACCCTTCTCTGATGTTAAACTAGAAGAGACAGGAGAAAGAAAGCATATGGAATAGAGAGGAAAGGAAGAGGATGGCAAAGCACATGAAATGCAGGGGATGGGGTGGACATGTCTTGCCTGTCCCCACTGTGCTATCGGGAAGCCATGCAATGATAGTTGTCCTTTTTCCAGCTCACACAACCCTGCCCCACACATCTTTGACAATGAAGGCCACTCATAATGGAAATGTGGAAGTCATCTTGCTTGTTGCTACATTTCCAAGTCATCTCTCTGTAGCCATGCTATTGTTAGTGTCAGAGGCATTACATTGACACAATGAAGGAGGCCAAGTTGGAATGGGAAACTTGTTGAGGCCCTAATATATGTCACAGGCTATGGGTTGATGTTTTTGGACTCTTCTAATGCTCAACGTGGTGGTCTGAGGTGGGCTTCATGACTTCCTTTCTACAGAGAGGGAGATGATCAGGCTCACAGAGCAAAGTGCATACTCAAGGGAATTCTATGGAAGTGTCAAATGAATACTGAGGCCAACTTAAAGGGCCTTCATTGGGTTAGTTGGGGACAAATAGAGCATAAAATATACAATTATAATAACAGAGGCAAACTCTTTGAGAAAAGAGGGAATACCTGAGTAATACTTACAGTAACAATACATTAACAAGAAGCAAGAGAACACAGAATACTGCCATGTAATTAAAATCCCAACTTACAATTCTAGAAGGAATAAAAGAACTACAAAATTTCTAAGCTAGTGTTGTAATAATTGATTATGGTAGGTAACATAAGTGGATGCTCATTCTGTGCCAATATTATAATAATCAATGAGACACTACAGTAACCATGCTGGTCAAGTAAAGATGGGAATAAACAACTAATAAACTGATCTTATTCCTAATATATTCCAGAAAACAAAGAGGACAGACACCATATTATCTAACACCATATTATCACTCACAATAAATACTCCTGGCACCCTCAGGTACATACAGAAACATACATAAACACACACACACACATACACACATATCCACATACACATTTGTTATTTCCCCTTATCTCACCACCAAAGATACCAAGAATTCAGTTAGGTGAATTTGCTGGGATCTAAAGCAAAAAGGCCACACATTTCAACTCAATAGATTCATTTCTTTTTTCTTGGGGGGAAGTGGGGGGTACTGGAAATGGAATTCAAGAGCACTCTACCACTGAGCCACATCCCCAGCCCTATTTTGTATTTTATTTAGAGACAGGGTCTCAGTGAGTTGCTTAGCACCTCATTTTTGCTGAGGCTGGCTTTGAACTCGTAATCCTCCTCCCTCAGCCTCCCAAGCCACTGGGTTTACAGGTATGCATTATTGTGCCTAGCTCAAGAAATTCATTTCTAAGCACAAATTTAAAATTGAAATCTTCTAGACTATTTACATAAGTGTGATTTTTCTGAAAATGACTGATAGAATTGCCTCTAGGACAGTTTTTCCTCACTAGATTCAATACATTGCCAATGAATTTTAAAAGCTGATACTGAAATACAAGAAAATCATATTAAATATCGTACATCCTTTCAATCCTGGAGCAGGGTTTCAACCAAAAAGATCATTCACTGCTATTGTCATTTGTAGTTGAGAGTTCAATGATAATATCATAAAGATTATACTTTAAAATATTTCCATGTATGGTAGCATCTAAAATTATGAAATATTTATGAATATCTGATCACAGATGTGCCATGCTGATACAATGAATACCAGACATCTTTGCTGAGGCAATTAAAGAAGATCTAAATAAATGGAGGACACACCATCTTCATAGGTTAGAAGACTTAGTATTATTTATTCTTTCAAAACTAATCTATAGATTCAATGCAATCCTAATAAAAATTCTAACAAAATGGATAATAAAACTAGAAGGCTAATTCTAAAATTCAAATGAAAATACAAAGAATCAATATTATGAAGGAAATTTTTGTAAAATGACAGAAAACAATGTACCTAATTTCAAAAAAATTTACGAATCTACAGTAATCAAGACAGTAAGTTTTTGGCATCAGGTTAGCCAAATATGTATATCAAAGGAACAGCATAGAGAGTCTATAAATACACCAAGACATATATGGATAACTGATTTTTCACAAGGATACAAAGTCAATTTAGTAGAGAATAGACAATCTTTTCAACAAAAGGTTCTGGAACAAATGGATATCCAAATGTGCAAGTATCCACTGTGATCCATATACTATATCATATAAAACTCTACTCAAATAGATCATATATCTAAACATAAATCCTAAACCTATAACATGTCTAGCAAAAAACAGAGGAAAATCCTTATTGAGTATGGATTAGGTACAGATTTCTTAGATGAGACACCACAATAATAATAATTGAAAAACTCAAGAATTTGAAATTTGGAATTACTCCCAGTTAAAAACTACAGCTCTGCTGGGGATAGTGGCATAAGCCTGTAATCCCAGCATCTTGGGAGGCTAAGACAGGAGGGCTGGAAGTTCAAAGACAGCCTTAGCAACTTAGGGAGGCCCTAAGCAATGTAGAGAGACCTTGTCTCAAAAACAAACCAATAAATAAGTAAAAATAAAAACAAGAGGTTGTGGTTTTGGCTTAATGGTAGAGTGCTTGCTTAGCATGCATGAGACTGGGTTTGATTATCAGCACCACATTAAAAAAATAAATAAATAAAATAAAGGTATTTTGTCTATCTACAACTAAAAAATTTGGGAAAAATAGTAAAATAAAATAAAAACAAAATAGAAACAAGAATATATTAGTGGGGCTGGGGTTGTAGCTTAGAGGTAGAGTGCTTGCCTCACAGTTATGAGGCACTGGGTTCAATCCTCAGCACCACATAAAAATAAATAAAGGTATTGTGCTCATCTACAACAAAAATATATTTTAAAAAGAATATACTGGTGTCTGAAAAACATAAAATAATCATGTAAAACATCAATTCTTCCAAATTTGTGATTGGAAGAGAGAATACAGAAGTCATCGGTTGAGAAAAATATATTTTAAAAAATCATATATCTGTAATAGGATTTGTATCTAGAATATTGAAAATCTCATAGCAGTTAATAAGGAGAAAATAGAGACACCACAAGAGAAACAGCCAGAAGATTTGAATAGATACCACAATAAAGAGGATATACAAACATCAAGTTTGTGAAAAAATGCTCAACATCCTTAACCATTAGGAAAAGATCAATGAAATCTATAAGATAGCAGTACACTCCCAGTGGAAAGGCCTAAGGTCAAAACACTGAACACACCAAGTACCGCCAAAGTACTAGAGGATACAACCCTCATACAATACTAGTGGCAATAAAAACTGATACAACCACTGCCATTTGGAAGCTTCTTACCATGTTAATCTTATAGCTATGTTATGATCCAGACATAGAGCCCCAAGAAGCTACTAATTATTTAACTAGTGAAAGAAAGCACCATAATTTTACAAAAGTATTTATTCACAAATGCTCTTAAGACCTTTGTTAACAAGAGCCCCAAACTGGAAACAATCCCCACATCTAACAGCAGGTGAATGGATAAAACAAATTATTCTATATCTATAAATTGGATTATGGGAATCAACAAAAATAATGATTCATTGATATATGTAACAAAATGAATAAATCCCAAAATGGGATGAATGAAAGAAGCCAAATCAACAAAATCAAAAGATAAGCAAACAAAACACCTTTGGGATTCATTTTCAATGAATTTCTAGGACATAGAATCTACTCGTAGTAAAATGTTTGTCTGTCTGCCTAACGATAGGGTAGTGTAAGTGATAGGCATACCTCGTACTACAAAACTGAAAATGTTCTGTCCTAGGGAATGATAATATTTAGGTCTATCTGGATATTTTAGGAGCTATAGTAGGGTATTATAATAGAGTAAGTTATATGGTATCATTATTTTTGAAAACACTGAATTCTTGTAAATGACATTTTAATAATTTTAGCTAATACTATATATAAATTCCTGGCTTCTTTAAAAAACATTATAAAGTACATTAAAAACATGGCTTCATGGAAGAATGCTAGGAAGATGTTCTAATCAACTCTATATTTCAATACCCATCAGAGAGATACATGGGAATCACTAATTATTATTTCAGCAGGTATTATCATTGAAGGTCCCAGCAATCGGGTATGGGTTAGTGCTCTTATCCCCATTTTACAGAAGAGGAGGCTGGGCTCAAAGTCTCTGATGAATCCAATCAGGCCTTCCCTCTCCTATATACCAAGGTGACTCTACAGAGGTCACCAGAACTTCCCAAAGGACCTGGAACTGGACCAATCATTACTGTGACTTTTCCACCTCCTCAGCTACTGAAGATGTGAAGAAGAACAAGAACTCAGGGAATGGTTGTGTGACAGTGCAGGCAAAGACAGGAGAAGGAACTCACCCTGGGGTGGCTCAGGCACAATCTAGGAAAAGATTCTCACTCTTGTTTCAGTGTCCCTCTCTGAAGATTCAGTGTCACCTTCTCCTAGAGCTCCAAGAAGCTACTCAAGCTGCAAGTCATGTGCACCATTGATGTAAATACAGAGTGCCCCAACAGAGTACAGAAAAAGGACAATTATTCGATGAAAAGGTGAAGAACTTCTTCACCACAACTCCATTACACTGCACAGCACAAGAGATGGCACGGAGTTCCCTATGTAATATGGATGAGTGTGTGTGTTACCTTTCTAGCATTCTCAAATACTCATTAAAGTATAGCAATTCTCATTAATGCTAAGAAATAACCTCATTAAAGAGCAGTGTACTTGGGAAGTTGGAATGGAAAGGAAACAAACACTGGCTTTCTGGATGATGAACCAAATACTATGCTGGATTGAAGGTTGCCCCATGAACTCCTCACAAGGGTCCCTTGATGGAAACAATCAGTTACAATCAACATACACACACACAGAAAATGTCAAGTAAATTATCAAGCTGGATAAGAATACCATGTGTATTGCAGAAAAATAATGGTATTTTATTTAGAAAGTTCTTATAT